CTCCCAAGTGCTGGGATTACAGGTGTGAGCCACCACACCTGGCCTGTTTCTGGGTTCTCTAGTATGTTCTGTTGGTTTACATGTCATGCTGTGTTATTCCAATGCCATGCTGCTTTGATCACTATAGCTTTGTAGTATATTTTGAAGTAAGGTAGTATGATGCTTCCAACTTTGTTCTTTCTGCTTAAGATTGCTTTGGCTATTGGGGAGGGGCAGAGATTTTTTTTTTCAGAAGCCCCTCCTGGCTATAAAGTTAGGGTCAAAATATAATTTCCCTAATGTTTCTATTCTTACTGATAAAAGCTAATACGATTGAGGAGTCTGTTCTGGTTTGAATTTTTTCTTCCTCTTGTTTTTTTTTTTTGAGACGGAGCCTCAAGCTATCCCCTGGGTAGAGTGCCATGGCATCACGCTCACAGCAACCTCCAACTCCTGGGCTTAGGCGATTCTCCTGTCTCAGCCTCCCAAGTAGCTGGGACTACAGGGCCTGCCACAACGCCTGGGTAGAACTGCTGGATCTTATGGTAGTGCTGTTTTCAAGTTTTTGAGGAACTTCTCCAATTGTATAATAACCGTACTAATTTACATTCCCACCAACAGTGTGTAAGAGTTCCCTTTCCTCCGCAGCCTCATCACAACACTGCTCTTTTTATCTTTTTGATAAGAGCCATTCTTCTAGGTGTGAGGTGATAGCTCATTGTGGTTTTAATTTGCATTTCTTTGGTGATTAATGATGTGGGACATTTTTTATATACCCATTGGCATTTGTATATCTTCTTTGGAGAAATATCTGTCCAGGTCTTTTGGCTCTTTTTAAATTGGATTATTTATTTTCTTATTATTGAGTTGCTTAAACTCCTTATACATTTTGGAAATGAACCCCTTGCCAAATGTTCAGTTTGCAAATATTTTTCTCTATTCTGTAGGTTGTCTATTTACTCTGCTGATTATTTTCTAGGCTGTGCAGAAGTGTTTTAATTTAATGTAATCTCATTTGTCTATTTTTGGCCTGTGCTTTGGGGTCCTATCTCAAAAATCATCACCAAGACCAAAGGCATGGACGATTTCCCCTTGTTTTCTTATAGTAGTTTTTCAGTTTCAGATCTGATGTTTAAGTATTTAATCCATTTTGAGTTGATTTTTTTGGTATATAGTCTAAGATAAGTGTCTAATTTCATCTTAAAATTTTTTATCAGAGTTTTCCATAAGAATGTTCTTTTTAATTCTTTTGAATTTCATCCCAACAATATTTATTGAAGAGACTTGTACTTTCCCCATGGTTGTTCATAAATGCATGAATTTATTTCTGGGTTCTCTCTCTCTTTTTTTTGGAGGCAGAGTCTAACTTGTCGCTCTTGGTAGAGTGCCATGGTGTCATAGCTCACAGCATGGGCTTAAGCTATTCTCTTGCCTTAGCCTTCTTAGTACCTGGAACTATAGGTGCCCACCACAACATCCAGCTATTTTTAGTGACAAGGTGTCACTCTGACTCAGGCCGGTCTT